TTAAGTGCCCAAGTTGGGTAGTAAAGCTAGGTTGACCTTTTACATTGCCATCAAGACGAACAGACATTTCGCTTGGACAAATTACCTGGAATCGATCGATAAAATGCATCAATTACATGCTCTTGATTTTCCATAAGGTACGCTGCTTGACCAGAGTAGGCTAGAAGAAGACAAGGAAACACAACTACCGTAAAAGCAAGCTGTATAGCAGAAACTGGGAAATGAGCAAGATCGGCAAAAAGTGCTTCAGTCCCTGCAAATAGAAAATAATTTTAAATTAGTTCTTATATTTGACTTGAACAATTTACCATAGATGATTTTCCTTTGGTTTTATCTTTGTATGAATGAGAGAGAGAGAGAGAGAGAGAGAGAGAGAAGATACCTGTGATACTAAGCATTATTCCTCCAAGAGAAGTCCAGCGTTTTCTCGTGCCTCTTTTAAGGTAGCGATATATGTATACAGGCGAAAAGGCTCTGAGAACCGAGGTATCATATGTATAAAGGTTGAAAATGCCGATGCCACCAATCATTAGAAACCAAAGCAATACAATGGGAGCAAATAACCAACCAACTTTATCCGTTCCATAGTGTTGCACGCTAAACAAACCGACTAATATGAATACTGCAACAAGTACAACCACATCTGCATCCAAAGACTCGCATGCTCAGTCACATAACAAGATGCATTAATAGACAACCAAAAAGGTTAAAATGCTCTTATTAACAACACTAACAGTAATATTTGCCCCAAAAAAAAAATGGCGAGACATAATAGTTCAGTTAATAGAACACACCATTACTCATCTTTGGGTGGTCCACCTTGATCCCGCCAGAAGCAGAAAGAACTGTGACATGCATTTTGGTTAACAAAGGCTTGAACAGAAGCGGAAAACTTGAGGAATAAGGATTACATACAAACAGGACTATCATTCGCATAATAATGGGTATACAAGGATTTTCTGTATTTTCATGTGCTGCATACAGAGAGAGAGATATAGCGAATTACCGGAAATAGCTGGTGTGAGAATCCCATCACCAATCACCATGCAAGTCCCCACAAGTACGAGTATAAGAAGAGAAGTTCTTCTGATTGCGTGTGCCTCAAGCCACCTCTTCGTTTTAGCAGCAAAAGAATGCTCATGGAATGTGCTACGGCTATAAGTTGTGAGCTCCTCATCTGTCCGGTGTTGATTCGGGATTGTTTTCACTTTCGCATGGCGGCAAAGTAAAGAATAAAGAGCAAAAGTTCCTCCTAAACAGTAAAATGTATAAGTGTGTTACAAATCTATCATCCATCATTATTACTAACTTTCGGCAGCTGTGTCATGTTATCGTGAGATGTGCATGCAACTAAATATGAATGCCAGAACCATAATGTTTAGAGAACACAGCAAGTAAAATCAAGACAACACTTTTTATCTGATAATGAACCGAGAAAAACTGAAAGAAAAAAAAAATGTAAAATGTGGGATATACATATACCAAGTCTAGTTACAACAGTTTAGAACTTTATTCTCTTCATACATGTGACTTAAAAAATTCCTATAAGAAAGAAGAATCAGAAGAAGGGTTCAAATAATCTTAATGCCTGCAAAGAATCTTATGCATTTTGGGCTGTTTTTGAGTTATCTGAAGGGAAATTTGAAGAAAAATGACATGTTACTGGGCTGAGTATCATAAATACTCACCTCTCGTTATCCACTTTCACATTAAACAACGTAATATCACAAGAACTTGCACTTCAAAGCACCTCACCTTGACCATTGTCGTTTGCTCTACAGACGATGAAAACATACTTGAGGAGGGGTATTAGTGTCAGTGAGTATATAATCAAAGAAAGGGCACCAATCACATCCTCCGGCTCATCTATATTATGAGGAAAGGTATTGTAGAACACATACAAAGGAGATGTTCCCAAGTCTCCATATACCACTCCCAGACTCTGAAATGCAAGCCTCAAGAGCAAAATCGCCGAAAATTTCTGCTTGATCAAAAAAAGTAGTACATAAGTAAAACATAATCCAGAAAAATTCCAACTTTTTTCCAGAACTACAGCAAACTGACGCAGAGATAGCTTCAGAAGACAACAGCCCAAGTAATAATAAAGCTAACAGGCAAAAAAAAAATAAACAATAAAGATGATAGGGTGGTGATGATGATGGTGATGATAAAATCTAACCTTTTCTCTATACATATTTTTAAGTCTTCCTGCTTCTTCATCCATAGGCTGATCAAGCTTCTGCTCCAAAACCCACATACCGCCTTTACTGTCACTATCTTCACCAAATTCAACCCCAGACGCCATTTTTATTCAAACCCACAACTTCACAAAACCTTATTCAGTTGATTAAATCCCAAAACCTTAGCCACCCAGTTTTTTCCAAGTATCAAGAATCCAATTCTGAAAATAAAAAAGTAATCTTTGATTCATAAACCCCCAACAGAACTAATATGAAGCTGAGGACAAGAGTAGAAGAGGAGATGATTATGCTACTCCTAAAAAATTCCTGGAAAGCAATTATAGAGGTGGGGTCAACTTAATACCAGCCACATAACCACCTCCCCAGAATCAGGAAAAAAAAAAAGAAAGGACTTTCACCAGAACCTCAATCAAACAAGCCTCTGTAATGAATGAAACTCAAGCTTCGATTATTTAATTAAGAGAGTAAATAGAAATTCTGAAGTGTGCTGGCCACAAGAAAAACCCAACTCTTGATACAGAGCAAATCGACAGGATAACAAAGGGGTCTTTGACTTTCAAAAGGCTTGGAAGTTTCAAAAGAGGAAAAGGAGAACAGAAATTTGCTTTCTTTTTTCAGATAGATATCGATTTCAATCTCCCTCGCTCCATCCTCTCTCTCTCTCTCTATGGATTAGCTTTCTCACATAGGTCCCAAATTCAGACAGGGGCTCTCTTTCTCGGGCCTCAGTTGTCATAATCTATACAATCATTCATTTTCCAACGGGGTATTGTTTGCATATGTGTACACCTTTGCAAGTCCCACGTTGGCACACACGTTAGAATGGACCAAAAAGAAAAGAAAAATATATATTTATGTTTGAAAAAAAAAAGATATATTTTTATTTTTATTGTTGGAGGTCGAACGATTTCAAACAAATTGATGATATCGAGTTAATAAAATAAAAAATACTTTAGTATGATATTTATTAAATTATCCAAGTACGAATAAATAAAAAATAATTTTTTATTTGAATAATAAACAAACAAATACAAAAATATAATCGAACACAAGTTCAAAATGTTTAAAAGTCAGTTNATTCTCATTCAAAAAAGGAAAATGTTCACTGGTACAACGGGATCCAAATGGACCACAATCCAAAATGGATCGGAGGAGAGCTATAAGCTTCCTAGAAAAACAAATGACAAAGAAAACAAATAGCAGCCGCAGGATCGAGCGGGAACCTGCCATTTGTATACTACATAAACTACCAGCAAAAAGAAATACAAAGAGAACTAGCCACTGCAAATGCCTAGCTAGTATAATGCAGAACTAAACTCAACTCAAATGAAGGGAAAATTCTTGCCATTCTCTCAGTGCATTATTGACAACAATGTGTTTTGGAGTCCAAATACCTTCAAAGACCCAAAGATTTCTTTATTTCCATAGTTGCCATAGGAGATAAGTAGAAAGCTGGATCCTGTCTTCCATTGTCTGAAGTTGCTGGTAAACTGAGTTGGTCCATTCCATTGAACAGGGGATAGCCTCCATATTCTCTCTGCTCTCTGACAATGGAAAAGAGCATGATCAAGTGTTTCAGCTTCCTGCCCACAGAACTTACATATTATATCAATACTAAGACCTCTTTTTTGAAGGTTGGTGGCAACAGGCAGGATATCATTATAGCACTTCCTATAAAATGCTTGATTTTGCCCTTAATTCTTAATTTCCAGCTTCTGATCCTCATTCTCTTGAGAGCAGCAGCATGAGAACTGCATTCTGGTGTATCAAGCTGCAAAATTTTGTTAGAGATAAGCTGTGCATAAGTAGCAGAAACTGAAAAGGATTTTTTTTAGATCAAAGGACCAAATAGCTCTGTCTTGAAGGTGGGTGCTGAGAGTCTTGATTTGTAATATGGCATCACATTCTGATTTAGAGAAGCAGCTTTTGAGAAGATCTTCATTCCAAGAAACACCATCTGCAGCAATGAGTTCAGAAACCCAGGTGACATTAGGGGCATTGGGCTGCTTGCTTAAGGGCTTTTTATTTGGAAGGTTAGGTACCCAAGGATGCTCCCAAACCTTTATTTTCCTGCCATTTCTGACCTGCATCATGAACCCTTGGAGAAAAAGTTTTTGTACCTTGAGCCATGACCTCCATAAGCATGATGAGCTCTGGATGGGCTTAGCTCCAAAAAAATCACCATTTGGAAAGTATTTGTGCCTGAGAACCCTACTCATGAGTAGCTCTAGTTTAGTTACAAGTCTCCAAATCTGTTTCAAGATTAGAGATTGATTAAAAACTTGGAGATCATGGAAATTCAATCCTCCAGCTGCTTTGGGAAGTGTGAGCAGGTGCCATGCTTTCCAATGGATGCCTTGGTTAGTAGCAGGATCAGAGCTCCACCAAAGATTTGCAAAAAGCTGTGCAAGTTCCTTACAGATTTTCAGAGGCAGAAGAAAGCATGACAATGTGAAGAATGGAAGGGCATTTAGGACATATTTCATTAGGATTTCCTTGCCAGCACTTGATAAATACTTGTTTTTCCAGCTCAGCAATTTGTTTTTGGCAGCTTCAATCACATATCTGAATACTTCACCTTTTGATCTACCAATACCCAAAGGCAATCCAAGGTATCTTGAAGATTGATGCACCGTGATGCCCTGGAGGATGTGGAAGATGTCTCTTTTAACAGAATCAGGTGTGTTTTTGCTGAAGAACACTGAGGACTTCATCATGTTGACTGGTTGCCCTGTAAAACTCTTGTATTTCTCTAGCATGGATAAGATGAGGTGAGCAGATTCAACAGTAGCTTGGCAAAAAAGTAATGAGTCATCAGCAAAAAACAAGTGACTAAGCATTGGGCCTTGTTTTGAAATTTTTAATCCTTTATATGCATGTGGTCATTTCATGATGTATAAGACAAGATAGACACTCCGATACTAAGAGAAATAGGTAAGGGGAAATAGGATCCCCTTGCCTAATTCCTCTTGAGGGCACAATATATCATCCAGTATGACCATTTAGTTTGAAAGAGAAAGAAGTTAACTGGACACAAGACATGATCCATTTAATGAAAGTCATATGAAAGCCCATTTTAGCCATGATCTGACTAATGCTTGCCCATTCAATTCTGTCAAAGGCTTTTGACATATCAAGCTTGAGTGCCATATACCTTTTTGGACCTGTCATGTGTCTGTTAAGGAAGTGAAATACTTCTTTAGCAATAATTACATTATCCAGTAGTTGTCTGTCAGGAATAAAAGCTGATTAATTTTGGCTAATACAGCAGGGAAACATGGCTTAAGCCTATCAACAAGTATTTTAGAGATGACTTTGTAAATAACCTCGCAAAGGCTGATAGGCCTAAAGTCCCCCACAGTAATAGGAGTTTGGCATTTGGGGATAAGTGTGATTAAAGTAAGATTCCAATTTTTAGATAAATGCCCAGAATTGAAAAAAGAACAAACAGTTGTACACAAATCATCTTTAACAATGCTCCAAAAAGATTGAAAGAAAGATGGAGTCATACCATCCCAGCCGGGGGCTTTGTCAGGGTGCATTGAGAACATGTCATTTTTTATTTCAAGTTCATCAACTTTGGCTGTGAGGATAGCATTCTACTCTTCTGTGATGGTGGGAGGGATGTGTCTGAGTAGAGAGCCAACATCAACTGATCCTTCAGATGTGAATAACTTTTGGTAGAAATCAGTAAGGCAAGCAGCTATTTCATCTTTAGTGGAGCATAATCTTTTATCTGTTGTCATGAGCCTAGTAATGGCATTGCATTTCCTTCTCTGGAGTGTTATGCATGGAAGAAATATGTGTTTTTATCTCCAGCTTTCAGCCATTGTAATCTGGACTTTTGCTTCTAGTAGAGTTCTTCTTCTTTGTAAACCTCATCCAGTTGCTGTTTCAAGGAATTCCAGTGCTCCCAATTTCTAGTTCCTCCATGTTCTATAAGGCCAGCCATTTCTGAAGTAAGCCTCTTTATAGTTTTGGCATAATTTGTTTTTAAGGTTCTGCTCCACTTCAGAAGGGTCAACCTTGTGGCCTTTATCTTTTCAGTGATTTTGAACATTGGAGAGCCATGAACTGGTTGGTTCCATGCTGCCCGAATTTCCTCTTTGATTCCTGGTAGCTTGAGCCATCTTTTATCAAAGCAAAAGGCTTGTTTCCTATGGTTTTCAGAGGTGCCAGAATGAAGAACAAGGAGATTGTGATCCGAGGCACTTCTGAATACATTGATGACTTTAGTCTCTGGATGGGTAGAATGCCAGTGTAAGGATGCAATCATTCTGTTTAATTTCTCTTCAATGTAATCCTCATCTGCTCTGTTATTACCCCAGGTGAATGGGTAGCCCTCCGTGTAGATTTCTTGACCTCCCAAGTCAGCAAGAAAGGTTTTAAATCCTCAGCAACTAAGCTCTGATCTATATCTGCCCCCATTCTTCTCACCTTAAGATAAGATGTCATTCCAGTCTCCTGCTATGACCCAGTTGTAGCCCCAGTCATTTTTAGCTGATAGCAGATATTTCCACTGGTCTGCTCTAGTTCTTCTGCAAGGGCTTAGATATACAAATATGAACCAAGACTTCTCAGTTCTAGACTGAAGGCTAAATTCCACTTCAATGCAAAAAGGTTGGTATTTGATTTGGTGAATTATGACATCCATATTCCAGAAAACCAGTAAGCCTCCCCCTTTATTAATTGGTTTTGATACAACCCACTTGTCTTCAATTTTTAAAGACCTACAAACTGTATAAATGAATTTTTTGTTTTTTTTCTGGTTTCACAAAGAAATGCAAAATTTGGATGGTGGAACTTCCATGATTCCTTGAGTTGGGAAACTGTAGAGGGTCCACCCAGACCTCTACAACTCCACACCATGGCTTTGGGCACTGTGGGGCCACTTCAGGCTGGCTTCCTCCACCTTTGAATTGTTGAGTTTTTGCTTTTCTAGGGACTGTGATCATTGGGGTGATTCTGAGATAAATTATGAGGAGCAGCTTCTAAATCATGCTGCCTACTTCTTTTCTCAGTACCATGAGAAGTGGATGAAGGGTGTTGTAGGAGGAGGGTAGTAGCACCTACTGATTTTGTTTGGCGTCTTGTCCATCGTCTCTTGGTTGTGGTTGGTTTGCCATCACTAGTAATTTGAGGCCGGGCCGGATTGGAAAAGTCCATAATGTGTTATGTATCAGCAGGAGATTCATTGCTGTGAAATTGGAGGAGTTGTGGTGTGATGTGCTTGTCCTCTTGAGTTGGTTTAGTTGGTGCAGAAATGGAGAAATCCATGGTTTGCTCATTATGGTGATACTGGAGAAGCAGCACATCTTTAGCTGATGATTTAGTTGTACTGTTGTGATCTATGGATGATGGTACTGCAGAACAGGCTGCAATGGTGTTATCAGCTATGCCTTCTTTTCTTATGGGTGTGGCATTGGAGTTACTGGCACCTGTTTCCTGCTGTGTCTCTTTGTCTGATGTATCATTGGTGTTGTTGGTGTCTTTTGGCGTGATACTGGCTCTAAAGACCTGCTGGAACGAGGGGAGGAGATTTCCTCAGTTGCCTTTAACCAGTCCCCATACTGGCCCTCGAGTACAGTACCCTTTGTTATGTCATCCATACGAAAATTACAAGATCTATCCAGATGACCGATTCTACCGCAATAGTAACATAAATTAATCAATTTTTCGTATTTAAATTTAAATTTGAGTTCGAGTAAGCAATATATACAAGATGGTTTGACATGTCTAATATTATTAATAATGGAATAAATAAAATATGGCCAACTATAAAATTTTTTTTCAATTATGGAGCATAAAATATTTGGAGTCTCCAGTGGGGCAGATTTAGACGTAACATTATTATTCTTGAGTTGCGTGATGAAATTTTGCCGGTGCCTTTTATTTTCTGAGGTATAACTCTCGATGCAGCGGGTTCAAACGTGCCTAAGTCGCATTGCCGGCTTTGACTTTATTTTAAGAATTAAATAAAAGCCCTCGAAATTCAGTGCAAGGTATATTAAACAAATTAGATCATCATTGTAAATTGCAATAGTTTTATCAATTATCAACCACTGGCCACTGGCTACAATAATAAACTAATCAAAATAGATTTTTTAAAAATAGAAAAAGTTGTGCAATTCAATATTTAATTCAGTCACAATGAGACACTTTTGTCAGATTCATGACTACAGTGTTTAATTAATCAGTGCTCATTTTCAATTCAAAAAACAAAATTAAAAATCTTGAATTGAATATTGTGTATATTAATCAATCAATCAATATTTTTTCTTTTTTCCAAAAGTAACGAATTCGATTATTATGTACATCAAATTCTGGGATATAATAAATAGTTACTGCTGACCTCTTGATGAGATTATGATGACTTATTGCTAATCTACCATTATAATTATAGTTTATATTTTTTAAGTTCAATTTCATTGCCCAACATAAACTTAAGCATTTGAGAATTCCTTAGCTGCTAAATATATAGGAATAACATATTTACATAGTCCTCAAAACTAATTTGGTCTTAGTGTATATATATGTCCAAACTCCAAGGTATAATATGTTGTCATTCCAATTCTTGATTTATTCCGTTAGGTGAATATTACGCATGTCTATAATAACAATATATATAATTATACAAATATCAAATTATCAATTATCAAATAAAATGAAACTAAAATTGAAACATGATTTTAAACAGAATTTTTGTTTCTCGATGGACAATGGTTAATAGATAAATAAAAGAAAAATATTTTGTTCTTATACTTTTAGAATAAAATTGCCATATTAATCAAAGGGAGCGTGTAATGCATAATTCATAAAACATCATTTTAGCATTGATGAATGTCACTCTAATTGATTTATGGGGAATTGACCTTTTTGAAACGCCATTTTGTGCGCACATGTATATTGTTTACACCGTACAGTCTCAAATCGATTTATCACTGTGAAATATGCTAGCTCACCAAAATAATAATATAATACAAGACAATATTCCATGTGTCTGAAGAGGGATATTCCCCTATCACTTGGATGGAAAGGTACATAAATTATCAAACTTAATTACAGCAAAAACTAAAAAGATTAGCTACTTTTCAAAATTATTATAGAACGCCCTCTCCTACTAAGAAGATAAAGATATTGAAAATCGGTTAATTTCAGTTAGAACATAAGATTTTGAAGAAAAAAAGTTTCATAAATCAATATTTATTGCAACTTAACTTGATTGACCAGGCTCACATATTGAATTGATTGAGGTGTGACCTCAAAAATTGAATTTTTTAACTTGTTAACCAACCGATTTAACATCAACTTTGATAAATTTAAATGAATTTATTGATCTACATGAATTTCTTTGGTTGAATGTTTAAATTTCGATGACGTGGCTATAGATTTGCTTACTGATTGCTTTGGTATTTGTTCAATAGTCAACAGTTTGGCTAAAGATAAATACTCTCAGCATTTGGATTTTGGAGAATATGTCATGTGGGTCAATTGTTAAATTGCATTACACATTGATTGATCAGATTGACGTCATTTCGGATGAAAAGAAAAAAGGAATTTCAAAAATTTTAATGTTCAATTTTTTTTTTTTTATTTTAACTGCATCTAATTGCAATCATTATAGTCAATTTGCATCCATTAACGACATATCACATCTTCTATAATTTTATCTACGTTCCCAATAGAATATAAGGAAAAGATTTTTATAAATACATCGAAACAAAACATTTTGCACATAAGCTATATAAGTAAACAAAATGCTCTTAAACTGCAATAAATAACATTGGGTTTATGCCAAAGTTAACAGTGAAAGGAAGAAAAAGGTCGGATAATCCAATTTCCAATTGCTCTAAAACACAGAAAAAATCTCACATACACAATGAACTTGGCAGACTTGAGGCGAGTCAGCTAACGGATAGATTGCACAGCTCACCTTCACTAACCCATTGGTCAACTAACGAGCTTTAAATTCTACAACGTTCTTCTAGCGTTTGCTAAAATGTAGTAATGAGAGCGAGCAGATGAAAAAAAGCTTAGCAGGATAATAATAAATTGAAAAACTATATTAGAGAAGGGAACTGATGCACATAAACATACTGAAAAGGTCCTTCTCTTCTGTAAGCAGCTTAGACAACCAAACACAATCGACCGTACCACAATACATAATCATTCATTTTTTATTTTTTTTTTCTACCATTAGTTGTTCTAAACATATTTTCTAGTTCCCTAGTAACTAAAAGCCAATTCTTCAGATTAGCAAACAAAATGCACATGTTATAAGAAAAGTAGACTCTCAATCACTGTCAAAATGCAAAGAACGCCATACTACAGTAACTACACTAAGCTGAACAGTTAACAAAGTTCATTGAATAGATTCATAAACAGATTACCATTAAGTGAAGGATCATTCGGCATCAAAGAACATAAACAGCAACAAGGAAAATCAATGACAAACCACAGTTTCCATAGCAAACAAAAGAGATGCATCCCACACAGAAGAGTAAAAAGTTTCCCAATTTACATTTATCCCTCAAAGTAAGAAAATTTACCAACTCTAGCACATTTGGCGTGTTATCAGACATCCAAGTTTTCCATTTGAATGCTGCTCTTGAGAGGCACGTATTCCCCAAGGTACCCTCCCAGATGATCGTAAAGCGCGCTCTTATCAATACCCTGATGATGATAGCTTTTGCAGACATAGTAAAACACACTCTGCACGAGCAACCCAATCAGATTCACAATCACTAACACCCCAACAAGAAATCCCCCAACCACAATCCTCGTGAAAACACCATAATCATCCCCTCCGTGCACTACAATCGACCCGAAAAGCCCATTGGTCACTCCACATGTAGCCAAATACACAAGCACTATCGACAACCCCATACGGCTCTTCCCCTTCAACAGCTCATAGCTCTTCTTCATAGCAGAAAACCCGTAGACGGGCTCCAGAACAGACACCACACTAGCAAGATGCCACAATGCGCTTATATAGACATGCACGCCCAGAAACAAAACGAAAATCACCAGAGTCGAGAATATGAACAGGAAAACACTCTGCAAGTCCACGGCTATGAGGAGGAGGACGAGGAACCCGAGGAAGATGATGTTGTAGGCCACCATCAGCAGGGAGACCCATATGAAGGTGATGAACAGGCGGCGGAAGACGCTGGGGATGGCGGCTATGGTGGAGGAGAAGGAGACGGGCTTGGAGGTGTAGAGGGAGGCGACGGTGAAGACGACGGCGGCGGTGGAGAGGAGGGAGAATGCGAAGAGGAAGATGAGGTAGCAGAACTGGAAGATGAGGAGCTTGGACCAGATGGAGGAGGAGGCGGCGGCGTCGGACTGGAGCTGGGCGAGGATGGGGTGGGTGAAGAGGGAGTGGGCCAAGATGGCGAAGGAAAGGGGGAAAATTAGGGTTAGGGTTATGAGGTAGAAGGTCTTGGGGGATTGTTTGGGGATTGAAATTGACTCCTTGAGGATGTCGGGGATGCTAAGGAATTGAAGCTCTTCAGCCGCCAGATCCATTGCAGAAGGATTGAGGATTTGGGAATTTATTGTTTGTTTATTTATATTTTTTGAAACAAATTATTGAGAGATGAATTGAATGAAGATTTGTGATTCGATTGCGCAGAAGATCTTACAGAGATGAAGATGATAATGGAGGAGAGAGAAAGTGAAAGTAGGGACTAAGGGAGCCGACCGACGGTGGTATCGTGACGGAGATGACGGAGAAGACAAGTCGTTTTCTTTAATTTTTATTTTATTTTATCTAAAAGCGTTGAAGAAAAAGGAAAACTTGTAAGTTGTATGCAAGTATCATTCCAAATTTTCAATCCAAATTAGTAGTAACATTTAATAATCATAGCACTTTAAAGAAAAGTCAACAACATTTATTGATTACTATTTCCGTATTATACAATTTATACTTATATAAAAGAAGATTCTATTTACTACATTTATTATCTAAAAAAGTCAACTGCATTAAATGCCATTACTATTTTGGTATTATAATATTTTATTTATTTAATTAATTTATTTATTTATTTTATTTTAAAAAGGTAAGTATAATAAAAAGATTTTAATAATAAAAAAATTAAATACCAAATAAAAATATACATTTTGACTTATTTGATTATATTTGGTATTTGATTATACTAAATATATTCCTATTTAATATATACGTTAAATAATTACTAAAGTATTTATTTGTTTTATTTGTCAAAGTTAAGTATAGAATTGTTTATATTATCAAATTATAAAAAAATATTAAATCCATATTGTAAAAAAAAAATCATATAATTTTATAACAATTCTACTACACTATTTAACAATATTTCTTTTTTATTATATAATAAAATAATAATTAAATATTATATGTTGAACAATAATAAGTAAAACTGTTACTTTCTCTTATATCAAGGGATAAATTTATATGCTAAAATTAAATTTTTATTAGTATAAATATTTTAGTGAGATAATATATTAATTATTTTACAAGCTAGCCCTAACATGCTCATATTTAATGTTTTAAAAGATGTAGAAAAAAACTTATAATAACTCTATTGTTTTTTAGATTTAAACGTTGATTAAAAGAGGTAAAAATTCATAATTTTTTAGACATAAACGTTGATTAACACCATAGATTGAGAGTTTGTATTTAGTAAAATTCCTAATTGTAATAAAAAAATTAATTTTTGCTATATTTTAGAATATCTTTAAATTCATTAAAAAAAAAACTACAATGAAAAAAGCAAGTCAGCTATATATCGATTTGTGGTACTCCTCAAATCACATTCACAATTTGGCTACAAGGAAAGGAAACTCATTGATTAAAATATTATTTTGTCAGTAGTCTTAATGTACAAGAGACTTTAAGACTCCACTTGAATATTATAAAACTTTTATTGAACATTGTATAATTTTCTTGCGTATTATAAACTTTATTGAATATTGCATCTTATAATATAATATTCTCCAAATAAATATATCTCGTGTTTTGCACGGGTCACGTACTATATATATCCCGTACATTTTTATTTATTCATGTATATAATTATAAGCCTGGATAAATAGCCTTAAAATTGTGCACCCTGTGTATCGCACGGACTCTGTACTAGTAGTTAACTAACTACAAAACATAGTCAATGGTAAATAAATATTTACGAACGTTGCTCGATATGGTTATTTAATCAATCCATGACCAGACACACATTAAATTTGCATCTAAAGAATCAGCTGAGATGCCGCCGGTCAACGGTTCAGGCCGCCACCATTGCCGGAAGTTATCAGACAGTACTCACACAAGTGCTCCTATTTTCAACGCCAACCCACTCACCATTAACTAAGTCAACTTTATTTTTTAGTCATCAATTATTACTATTCATTTTATTTTCGTAATTCATTTAGGCATCAACATTATGACTCCGCTTGGCCGCTTTACACGGCCTCACTGATAGTCTTCATGGGTACGATAAGCAATCATATGCACGGTATGTTAGGCTGTCAAGTAATTTACGGCCCAAGCCCACTGCAAACTTTAGCTAGCTGCAAGCCTCAGAGTTTACAATCCATATATGATTGGGATTTGGGCCACAGAAGCAATATTTATCCAATTTTTTATTTTATTTATTAATTAATAAACATTTTTATAAGAACTAGCGCGTAGCCCGTGTGATGCACGGGATAATATATTTTTCTAGAATATTTAACATGTGAAATATTAAAATTAACATAAATCATATATATGTAACATAAATAAATGGATCTAAAAGAAGGTAAAAAAAATTATAAACTATTGAATATTTTTTTGTACACAACGTTCTTAGTTTGGGATAACGATTGTCCCTAGCTCCTGTTTATAGTCATTGCGTAAGAAACCATAACGTCATTGTTTCATAAGTATCTTGTAAAACATTGCATCTATATATCATGAAATAAATGTTGTATAATAAATATATACCAAATAAATATATATCGCTTGAAATGTTTGCTAGAAAACTGGTCAACACCAGTCGGTCAGACTGGTAGTAACTGTACGATTTTTTAAATAATTTTTGTTACATTTAATACTATTTTTAATATAAGTAAAAACACATATTTAAATAAAGTGGACATTTATAAATTATTTATCATTTAATTAAACATTGAAAAATTTTAAATTGTTCATATATTTAATTAATATTTTTTATAAATTTATTATAAAAGGTACTATATATATATATATTATAAATAATTTAATTTTTGATGCAACTAATAAATCATTGAATAAATAAATTGATCGTTTTGAAATGGTTCTTGTTGTAGCAAATATAGACTCGAAAATATAGACTAAGTGGCTCTTTGGATAGGTAGGATAAATATAGACTAAGTGGCTCGAATACATAACTCAAACTCCTAACCCAAGAACTACAAGCTCAACCGATTGGTCAAACATACCGGATCATCTCCCCACACATCTCCTAAAACCACACGCTTCACCCAATTATTTCGTTTTTTTTTTCTTTTTTTTCTTTGTTTTGTTTTTTTTACTTTTTTTTTTGTAAACTTTTTTGGACATTTTATAATCCATTCGGCTACACCATTTTTTTTTCATTGAATATAAACACAACTCCAACAAACAACTCCAACAGTCATCCCTTTCAATTCTTAACCCGCAATACCAACAACGTCATCATCACGAGGTTACCAATAAAAATCACATAAGGCTCAAAAATGAGAGACTAGGGAATAATTTTCAAAAAAAGAAAAGGATAGAAAAATTCAATAAATGCCTTAATCTTATTCAACGCTCACAATCCTAATTGATTCATTTCAATGCAGACTCAAGGCAAGTTCTAATCAACAAGAGCACGACCAATGTATCTCAAGAACAAATAAGGCTCAAACCTCACCAGGCATATATATGAATGTCAATCAAAACCATTAACCAAACAGTTCATCACACTATGCCATATATAACCAACATCACAACTCATCGAATTCATTAAACAAGTTTCAACTAATCTTGAAACTTCCAAAGTCCATACTCACAAAACACAAACTGACACAAGACTACAAAACTCAAAAGAAAAGACAGAAAGGGGAAACAACTCAAAAAGTAAAAAAAGAGAAAAGGTGTGCAAACCGAAGATGCATCGAGTAGAGTAAGCATTCTCATGCGAGCCGCTCGCTCGTGCTCAACCCAGAATCTAGATCTTTCACGTTCATCTGAATTCCCCTGCTCGAGCTCTCAAACTCATTCCAGCCAAGAAAACCACAAAACTCCAAAACTCCAATTATTCAAAGATCAAACTAAAAAAAAAATAAAGGAAAATATCTAAGAAAGCAATAAATAACACTTGGGTTGTCTCCCAAGAAGCGCTTGTTTAACGTCATTAGCTTGACGAAACCTGTGAGGAACTCAGTCGGGGTCCAAAAAAAAGTGACGATCGTGCCACGCCTTCGTATTCTCTAGCAGTGGTAGCATGGGCAATATGGCATGACCGCAAACCAGGTGGGCTAGGGTGGCAATATTCTTGTGGAACCGAGCATGAGCACCAAGGATGGTAACGAAACGGCTCATAGCTCTTCTCATCAAACCTCCACAGTCAACCTCACGGAATACAAGAGTGTCTGTGGAGCATGTCGAGCTAAATGGAGCCTTCTCGACGGTGCGGAGGGATGGCTCAAGTGAGGTACTCTCGAATTTGGACCTAGGAGTTTCCTCCATCAGTATATCACCCTCAATCTCTGGGAGCGCATCTTCCCCTTCTTCAGTCTCGCCCACGTGAATCTGATAGACATTGATAATGGGCTCATCGACTTGCGGCTCAACGGATTGGATGTGTTCTATTATACCGTCAAGCTGCACCACCAACTGAGTGCATCCACCCTCAATCTCCTCCAGTTGAGTAGTTTGGGCCGACACACGAGCAAGAATAAGATCGAGTTTTTCATCAACCATTAGAGCGTTCCCCCGATGCTCATTATCTACGAGGGAATCGGGAGAAGAATCGTAAACTCGATCCTCCATAACTCGAATACGTTCCGCTAGGTTCTCGATTCCGGCCTCAAGGTTTTTTCTTCGGGCTACTTGGGAGGTCAAAATATCGAGAATCCGATCAAGCTTAGCATCCGACTCTGAGGAGTCCACGGTGGACTCATATGATTGCTCGAACGGTAGCGGATTCCACGATTGCTCGTAAGGGAAGGCACATGCCTAGCCGAGCCATACTCCCACGAACCGTAGCTCGGCCCATTATTCCAGTAAAGGGTTTGTGAGGATGCGACTGGGTAGCCTGAGTTCATTGAGCTCTTCGGTCAAATGCCCTGCACACAAGAAACAAAACAACCACACGAAGCCGCGAAAAGAAAGAAAAAAGAAGACAAAAACAAAAACAAAGAGAAAAGCAAAAATACAAAGAAGGAAAACAACACCAAAAACAAACAAAAATAAAGAGAAACACAGAAAATAAAATCAACACCAAAACTAAGTATCCTACTTGCCTTCCCCGGCAACGGCGCCAAATTTGTTGTAGCAAATTATATTTTTTTACCGAGTACCGAATCAAAAGATTCGTTCCCCGAGTCGATCTCTCGAGGAAGACGGTTCGGAATTTAGCGTTGATCTTGATCACACTCGAAAAGAAAATAAGTCCTAAACACTCTAATCACGATTGATTTGGAGAATTAACTAAAACAAGTTATAACTAGAAAAGCAATTTAAAGAAATAACAATTAATTTCTAGAGAAAAAGAAGAAGTTCTAGGGGTCGGGAAAATCTCATCAAGTCTTAAACTATGTTGAGCGCTTATTTGTTCGGTTACGAGATTTAACAAGCCTACACGTCTAGAGGGCTATGTTCAATAACTCTCGTAACAAGAGCACAAACATAATCGATAAACTCATTCAAATAAGCAACACATAGACAATACTTTTACGAACATGTCTACTCTATACGAGCCTAAATCGACCGATGTCTCTCCTCTCTGTTCTAAACGCCAATTAACTAGGTTAGAATGGTGATCAATCAACTAACCCTATAATTCACACAACTCGTATAGATTGAACAAAACACATTCATCATAATTCAAAACAAGAATCAAAATCCCTAACCCTAGGTGAATGGATTACTTCATGCTTAGATTCAATTTCATGTTAACCAAAATTAAGACAATAAAACCAATCAACAATAATAAAATAGAACTGAAAAACATACAATCGGATTAAGAGTTGCAAGATTTCAATCCAAATATCTTTGTGTCCAACAATCCAAGCATGAGAGAAAAAAAGGAAAAGTGGAGAAATTTATCCTAACAATATTGAGTTTTTGAATAGAAAAATTGAAAGGAACGATATTGGGGATTGTTCCTTAGGTCTGGGGGGTCGTTTTTATATATAGAGCTCGAAAAACGGAGCTAAAACGAGTAAAAACGGAAAAATATAAAAACATGGTCGAACAGGTCGCGACTCGCGAGTCTGACGGGTCGTGGGGTCGCGCAGCTGGTCGGAGGCTCTGTTAAAGTCGCGACATTGCTCTCGCGAGTCGCGACTTTGGACTGCACTGCGCCATTTTACGTTTCAGGCTCGTTTGGGCTCGTCCGAACTCGGAATTGAGTTCCGTTTTTTGCTACGCGTCGCTAACGAACCCATCTATCCAATTGTGCTCTCGAAACCAACTTTTCCTGAAGAGAAATTTCTCCCGAAGCTCCCGACCTACACACCAAAAACGACAAAACACGAAGAAAACCGGAAAAACAAACGAAAAACACCTAAAGATTCAAAATGAAGGAAAACACATAATAAAACACGAAACGGACTAAAAACTAAAGAAACGACCTAAAACGGGAGAAAAAGAAAGATAAAATAAACACGAAAAATGCAACAAAAATAGGACAAACAGTTCTCTCCTGAGAATTTTGAATTTACCGTACATTAATAAATTTGTAATGCAAGATCACTTTGTTCACATAAATATTAATAAAATAAAATATAAATGTTCATAATTCCTTGAACATGTTGTCACAAAATCATTCTTAATATGATTATTTGAAGTATGAACTATATTACATTTATTTTAATAATGTATTATTAATATTAAAAATTATATTTAGTTCAATAATCAATTTGGTCTGGTAAACTGACCCATAACTTGGTTACTCAAGATCAACCTCAGTTGTGTCATTGACCCATAGCTCAATCACCCGGGATCGATTTAGTGTATATCTGCTCAATTTTTTAGAACATTTGATATCAAATGAGTATAGCATTCATTTATATAAGTGAATATAAATTTGCTATACTATATAGATCATTTGCACGGATGATTTATATCCATTTCTAGATTAGTTAAAAAAGCATTTGTTATGTATTTGTTTATTAAATAAAGAATATCAATGCTATAGATACTTTAAAAATTCGATATGCACATTGTTTATTAGTTAAAGAATTTTTATGTATTGCCCGTAAATTTACATATTTAATTATACATATGCATATTTAGGACTCTACACGTTTAAAACCATATTTCAAAAGATTCAAAATTATTTAATTAAACCAGAAAGGCCGATTATATATTAATTACATAATTGAGAGAAATTATTAATTAGGACAATTTTTGTAAAGAATATTTCAATGCAATTTCCGATTAGCAAAATCGAACATAGCAAAATCGTATATAGAAATTACATAAATAATTTATGTTAAAATCAGATTTTTAAATAATGTCTTCATAAAAAGTGAGATTTAAAAAAATCATATATATTTTTCTTAATGGAAAATGAATATTGATTTGGTAAAAAATATTAAGAAAGACAATTGTGAACTCTCGATAAACATAAAATTAAATCTCTAAACAATATTATATACCAGAATTCATTCCAAATAAAAATATCAACTACAAATATATTTAAATTTCTAAAGTAGATTTACTTCTAAAGGGCATGCCAATAAAATAGAAAAATTTCGATTTATTTTCCAAACATATTTATTTACATGCGTGAATTGTACAACAAATGCAAAGTTTGAATTTTGACCTGATTTTCTATAAATGGTAAGTCTGACTTAAGCTTTTTATTAACTTTTCACAAATAATTTATTTACCATCTTCTTTCAATATATATAGATTTGGCAAGTTAGTACATGAAGACAAAAATTGAAACTTTATCAAAGTAAAGGATATCAAATTGACTTGCAACTTTCACTGTATGATTCATTTCCTGCCTCATTTTTAAGTCCACGAGAAACCATTAACATCAAAGAAAGAAAAAAACGAAAAAATGGCACAATTTATGCTTCAGCTCTCAAACAATTTCAGAGCTTCGTCTCTTTTTGTTTCTGCTTCTGCTTCCTCTAATGGTACTAATACATCCCATCTGAATTTTATCTATTTTCCCACTTATTTCATGCTTATGATGTTTTTGTTTTGATCGCTAATTAAGCTCAGAAACTTGAAGGAACAGTTGCCACTTTTTCTTTTTCTTTTTTTTTTCTTTGTTTTTTTCAATTTCAGTTAAATATTCTATTTTCTCAGCGCAATTTATCTGGGTGTTTGGTTCATTTGTTTTGTTGGTTAAATATTTTTGGGTGCTTGACCGTATACTCGCCCAATTATGAGTGTTGTTAACGGTTTTAAGATTAGACCAACGAGGTTCTTGACAGTATCAAAAATGCCAATTTTCGAGCTCAAAACGTTTTTGATTGTAGCTTTTGTCCGCCCATGTTAATCATTCTTGTTGGATTGTGTACTTCAGTCAGTTCTCTGGCTTCAAGGTTCAATTATGTTGTAATTGTTAGGTTACTTTATTATTTTGTTATTTATTTGGATTTTTGTGTAATAGGAAAATTTGTGAACTTGGGATTCTTTATGTTTTATCATTATTTCCAGATCCTGCTACAGCAATAATCTAGGCACATAAAAAATCTCATCTTTTGAGTAAAAATGAAGTAAATCATCTGCAGTTACTTATTCTTGAAGACTTTGGATGTTTAGATTCTTCTTTTTTCAGTACATTTAGATACAACACAGTAAAATTTTTCGAGTCATTCATATATTGTAGCTTCGTTTATGTGCTTTTACTTTGTTATTTTCTTCCCCATTGCTCAAACAAATGAGAAGCATTGTAATCGTCAATTGATTCTCTTTCCACAATTGCTGCCGGATTCATATATTTTGAAACCCTTCATCATAAGCCGTACGGTAATTTGTTTGAGTCCAGGCTGTCCTCCTAGTGCACCTCATTCTGGGGGGCCATCGATTGTTGAGCTTCCTCTTGGTAAGATACGCAGACCCCTCATGCGAACGAGAGCCAACGACCCACAAAAGGTGACTGAACTCATGCAGAGTATAAGTGAAATCGGGCTTCAAGTTCCTGTAAGTAAGCCTACCATTTCTCTTTTCCTCTTCATTCTACTTATAACATATCCATCATTCCATCTTATCCTGTGTGAAAGTCAGCAGAGCTGACTGCAGAATGCAGATTGATTGATTATTCTTAGTTGTGTAAAATCTTCTAGGAAATTGGATACGTGGGCACGAAGCATATAACAATTTATATTTGTCTTCAACGAATTTGTGATCTTACTTGTCTCAATAATGTGTTCAATCTTATATGAAATCCACGGTATCTATTATGCAGATTGATGTGCTTGAGGTTGACGGCGAATACTATGGTACATGTTCATTCATCTAATTTCTATCAAAGTTATTACTCATACATGCAGATTTAGAGACTCGCATTCGACCATACACTAAGGGCTTACTCGTATGTGCCTTTGCATATTCTCAGGCTTTTCTGGTTGCCATAGGTATGAAGCCCACCAGCGTTTAGGGCTGCCGACCATACGCTGCAAAGTTCGTCGTGGAACAAAGGAAACTTTAAGGTAATACAACTCCATGCATCTCAAACGTTTCTCCTATATTTTCCGTCTTTTTTTCTCATTCTTCCATATCAATATTGGTTTTCCTATTTTTTTTTTCTCATTCTTCAATATCAACTGGCCTAACCGACTGTGTCTAAGACCCTCTGAAGTTCATTTTCATGATAAGAAATGTTTGTGTTGTAGGCATCATCTCCGCTGAACAGAACAGATGCTCAAACAGAGCAGATGATGATTAGAGGAAGCAGATGCATCACTTGAAGAAAAAACGAATCCTTCTTTATAGAATTTGTTAGAACAGTAGGATTATGTATTATGTATGACATATATTGGGCTTGTAACTAAATCTTTTATCGTGTTGAAAAAGCCAAAATTATACTACATTGATTTGCACCAACATTAAAGCAAATGAAATAAAAACAACAGCAAAGAAACTGCAAAGAAATACAATTTGATTTATAAGAGCTTAGACTACAAGGTATTTACATTGTTTGATAGACTTTCTATCTTTGAATTTTAATTCATTTACTGAGGAAACTATCCATTACTTGGATACATTGATAGAGCTCTGTTGAATTTGACTTGGACAAGCCCCCAATGTGGCACTATTCATGTTCCCTGAAAGAACCCCTACAGTCATGCCATAGGCAACTAACAACCAGAGTGTAGGCTGACTTCAATTTTTCTCGAGTAGACCACAAAATTCTCTTACTTACAACCCCCGATCCCTTGTTAAACCGCAAAATTCTCGCTTGTTAAACATCAATACCGGGCATATAAGGAAGGGGCGGCTTGGGTTCCCTGATTTTCTGGGCCAATACAGCTTGAGTGGTGAGAATTATTCCAGCAACCGAAACCGCATTTTGAAGGGCACATCTTGTCACCTTGCAAGGATCAATCACCCCAGCAGCCATTAAATCTTCATAATTCCCACTCAATGCATTGTAACCGACCCGAAAATCACGCTCCTTGATTTTCTCCACAACTACATCTCCATCGACCCCAGCATTATTCGCGATCAATCTCGCAGGTTCAAGAAGCGCCTGAATATTAATTAAACAAAATAAAATCCCAATTAGAGTGCTTGTGAGATCATGCATTATGGTTACGAATTGCCAAGAAAATGTAACTTTTTAAAATATGATATGTTTTGTTGAGATTAAGAACATGTAACAAACCATGCCAATAATGTCTGCCCCAATCTGCTCGTCAGGGTCTTGAAAGGCTGCCTTAACTACAGATATATGCTTCGAGAGATGTATATACGTGGCTCCACCTCCAGGCACCAAGCCTTCGGCCATGGCAGCAAAAATAGCATTTTTTGCATCCTCTATTCTTAGTTTACGTTCTTCGAGTTCGATTTCCGTGTGGGCCCCAACCCTAAGTACAGCCACCCCACTGCAGAGCTTTGCTATACGCTCGCTCAATTTTTGTTTCATGTACCTGCTATCTGTCTCGGCAAGTTCTTTTTTAATCTGCATAATTCTTGCTTCTATTTCGGGTTTGGTTGAAGAGTCTGCAACTATGGTGGTAGATTTGCTCGTAATAATTACTTTTCGAGCAATACCGAGCTGATCGGATGTTACATCTTCTAGTGCCATGCCAAAATCTCCAGAAATAAAATCGCCACCTGATTGCAATAATAAAATTGTACCAATCGTGAAAGAAGTTAAAAATTGAAGCACAAATATGTTTGAAACAAAACACATGGTATTACAAAAAATAACAAAATATATAAGTTGAGAATCAGTTTGTGTCGGAAGTGAAAGAACCAGATAAACTTCTCATTTTTTTGAGGGTAAGGTCACAAATTTCTGAAGTAAAAAAAGAAAAAGAAAAAAAAGAGCGGTTAATCACACCTGTCATAAGTGCAATATCTTGCAAGATGGCTTTCTTTCCCTCTAATATCCCTGGACATTGCACGGCAGCAACATTCAACATGCCTTTTCTTTTATTCACAACTAGAGTATTCAGCACTGTGTATGCTACATGCTCGGCAAAAATCAGAAGGGGGACACTCAATTGTGATGCCTTTTCCAGCACAGGAACAATCTCACTCACTTTGGATATCTTTTGATCGGTAATCAGAATTCTGGCATTCTCAAATTCCAGTACATATCTGTCCTTCTCATTGGCAAAGTGTGGTGTCATATATCCTTTATCAACCTGGAAAGGAAAAAGAAGATGCCCGTAGATAAATCAAGAAAGTAATGAAAACTGAAGGGAAATACGAAATGCATAATGAGGATGACGTTAAATTAGTTACGTGTTTGAGAAGCACTGAAAGCTGAGAATAAGTCCAACATTAGTTCGTACAAATTACCTTCATTCCATCATCAACTGTCACATAAGTCTGAAAAGATGAAGAAGATTCGATCGATATTACTCCATCGGGCCCTATTCTGTCAATAGTTTCAGCTAATAAGTGTCCAATATCTTCATCATTTCCAGCAGATATTGAAGCTACCGCTGCAGAAGACCCAAAAAAATGAAAAATATAATAATCCTGAGAGTTGATTGGATAATAAACCAAGAAAATTGACCAAACGACACAAAACCTCTGATGTCATCTTTTCCTTGTACAGCATAACTCATTTCTTTCAAACTATTGACCAGTTCTTTCAATGTTTTCTCCATTCCCCTCTTTAAAGCAACAGGGTTAGCCCCATTAGTGATAGCCAACAGTCCATATTTAATCATTTCTCGAGCCAAAACAATTGCAGTGGTCGTGCCATCGCCAGCCGAGTCATTTGTTTTAGTTGCAACCTACAGAACCCACGACCATGATCAATGTGCCTTCTACGAGATTAAGTGCAGCATACTCTATTTCTAACGCGAGAATCATTGACTAACCTCCTTAACTAACACTACTCCAGCATTTTCAATCGAGTCAGAAAGCTCTATAGTTCGGGCAATGGTAACACCGTCATTTATCACTTTAAGTCCCTCAGAATCTGAAATGACTACATTTCTCCCTGCATAATTCGCCAGATAAAAGGCAATAAAAAGGTATATTAACAAACTATTGGGGTAGCTTTCTTGAGTTCATCGGAACACTGTGCTTAAAGAAAGCCAACTTCAGAAAACCCAAATAATGAGTAAAATTTCATTCACACATGATATCTCAACCAGAAAAATCAAGAACACTAAATTAAGAAAAACAGAAAAAATCCACACACACCTTTAGGTCCAAGTGTAACAGAAACAGCATCAGCAAGCTTGTTGACCCCAGAGAGCAAGGCATCTCTGCATTTCCTATCAAATACAATCCTCTTTTGACCTGCTTTAACTACAAGCCGCGTTTTTTTCACGCTTTTGCTTCTCCATAAGCCGTATGTAGTAGATTTTCCGTGCAATTCCTAAACAAAATAGAAGAAATGAGTTGGAAAAAGATGAGATAACAAAAAATGGGGGGAAAACTGAAGCCAATGACTTACTGAAGACGAAGGATTAGGGCACAAAAAGAGTTGTGGAGAAAATAGTAAAGACATTATGCGAGCTTTTGCAGAAAGTGATGATGGTTCTGGAACTCTGGTGAGTGGCGATAGGGTTTTGAGAGGGTTTTTAGGCGGATGCGAAAATTCGAATGAACAATTTCGGTGCCATTGGTATGAGCTTTTTTTTTAAATAAAATAAAATATTTTTATCTTAGAACTTAGAAGAGTGAAATGGAAGTGGTAAAGACTATTTTTAGATGACGTGAATTGGTGTGAGATAAAAAAAAAATATATAAGTATTAAAATTGATATAATATAAAAATAATAAATATTAATTTATATGAATGGTAGTTAAAATTACAAGTGAATCAATAATTTGTTTTTTTTCGAAAATATATAATAATGATGATTTATTATATAATAATTGTGGTAGGTGGAATTTGTAGAGAGGTGAAATGAAATGAATATATTGTTGGTAAAAATAATGTTTTATTTTTATTTTTGATAACATAAATTTTGGTTGAAGAATTTAAAATAAAGGACCTAAGAGTTATGCCCCAATTAGCACACCTAAAAACATTTCCAATGCTCTAATATTGTTGTAGAATAGATTTTGACAAATGTCAATAAATTAAATGGATTGTGAACCATGTAGGAAAAATATTAAGTTTACAACTATGAAATTAAAAAATTATCTCCAATGCAAAATGTAGTGTAACTACAATATTATCTACTTACGAAATATTAAAATTTTATAATATGTAGTAAGAAAATTAATTAAATAATTAAATAATTTAGAATTGATAAGAATAATTCTCTATCTTCTCTTTATTGGCTAGGTAGAGTGTGGAGGAGAATGTGAATGAACCACATTCTTCTCTATATTGTAGACATTAATTATGTTCACATCATTACAACATTTGTGATCACATAGTGTATCGGAGAATAAAAAATTGTGAAATTGCTAAATATGTTAATGTAGAATGTAATTTACCACAACAATATTTGAGCATTGGAGATGCTCTAACAAATTTTAGAACATTAGTAGAACATTTGTATTTTATTTTATTTATTTATTTTTTTTTTGGGTCCAATTTGGAAGAACATTTGTAGTATTGTAAGAAATGAAACTTTTGTAGAACATCGTTTTCGATAACAACTCGTTTATTTGTACCAATTTAGCTCGTTTATTTGTACCAATTTAGTCCTATAGAGCACTTTTCAGTTTGTATAAGACGTGAAGCTTGTGNCTTTTTTTTTTTTTTTTTTTCGAAAAGATAGAATTTATATATACAAAATAAAACCTATGGGCTCATTTTTATCAGTATGTCTCATGCTACGAGCTCCTTCCGAATGTGTTCCTACACTTTGAACCAAAAAAACAGGTTCAAAAAACATACCTTTTCATGATCAACTGTTACACAGAGAGTATCTTTCCTAAACCGAAACAGTATTATCCAGAAAACTTGAATTGTTTCCCAAGAAAAAAGAGGAAGAAGAAGAAGAAGAAGAAGAAGAAGAAGAAGAAGACAAGCAATGGTTTGCAGTGGTTTAAACTTTAAACGCAATAACTGAAAAGAAAAAAGAACTGAACAAAAAAATCAAAAGAGGGAAAGAAAGCAAAAAATTGCATCAAGAAAATCCCAATCTTGTTCATCTACTTGGATGATGGATCCCTCCATAAGGAGACTTATTCCTATGAAATTGTGATTCCTTCTGTCTCTCTCTCTCTCAATGCTTGGCATCTTCTTCTTCGCAGAACTTGGAGTATTGATCAGAGTTCATTAAGTTGTTCAGTTCATTACTATCTTTCACCTCTACCTTTATGATCCATCCATTCTCGTACGGGCTAGCATTTACCTTAAATGGAGAAAATCATAATCAATCACTACTTTTTCCAGCGGAAAATGCAAGATAAAAATTGGGAATGAAACTTAAACTCGAAAGTAGCAGATCCATTTGTGAACTTGTGTAGCATGTCAAATTTTGTAAAACGATTATCAATAACTGAAATCCATGGCCGATTCAACTGTCAACAGAGATTATATTGGAATAAAACAAACAAAACAAAACCATTCTAAGTAGGCACAAACAAAACGAAACACTCTCTACCTCAAATTTTCTCTTGATTAACAAATTTAAGTTAAAATATGACGAACTATCTTTGCAAAAAAAGAGACTCACCAAACCAGGAGAGTCGTTGAGTTTTGAGTTGACCTCAACCACTTTACCCGAAACAGGAGAATTAATGTCGCTAGTGGCTTTAACACTCTCAACAGCACCAAAACTCGAACCTTGCTTTACCTCAGCTCCCTCTTCGGGCAGCTCCACGTACACGACATCACCCAAATGGTCTTGAGCATGATCAGTAATGCCCACAGTTGCTGACTCACCTTCTACCTTTACCCACTCGTGTGAGTCAGCATACTTTAGATCTTTCATAACTGCATTAATTCAAATAATATAGATGATATATATAATCCACGCATAATTGTCATTGTTCGAGAAAGAATACGGCTCCACAATTCATCCCATCACAGTGCAAGTAGTGGATATCATAAAAAAAAACAGTACTAATCTGAATCGACCGAGATCATTACTATCAAAGAATGTCATTTTTGCAGAACTTAATGCTTCATGGATTACTAACTTCATAAAAGAGCTGGCTATAGCCTATAGTCACTCCCTCTGCACATAAAGAAGCCTGGAAAAAGGTAAATAACAATGAAAATAAAATTAACATCAATTATCACCAGTCGATCGAAAACCTCAAGCGCAAGAACAAACCCAGAAAAAAAAAGGGATATTTTTCTCCAGGATTAACAACGGATCCATCTTTTTACTTCCCTTTTAAAAAAAGCGCAAGAACAAACCCAGAACCGAATATAACAATTGACATCTGGGATTCATATTGTCTGGTAAATGGAAAAGGCAAGTCCAGTAAAAAGCGTATAAAAAGATTAGATTTTTCCGGACAAAAAGTTTGTAATCGGGGTGAACGTACCAGTGGCGAAACATCTGTGAGGAACAGAGATCTTAAGGTATGAAGCTGCCCTCGTCGCCAACAACCTTGACGCCATTTTTGACCGAAAAATGGATCAAAACCCACCGCTTTTAAAGCTGTTTTCTTTACCAATTAAAAAAAAAGAAGAAGTTTTTCTGAAAGCTATAGGTGGCTGGCTGGAACTGGGGAGCTCTGTGATTGTCTCGAATTAGTATGGCCACGGACTACAGTGAAAGAAAGGGTTGGTAGGGTAAAATATAAATATTAAAAATTGAGGCTTTTGTATGTGTATTTTATAAATAAAGGGATAATATACTTCTTCATAAAAGATCACTTGATTCTTTTATATGAAATGATCTCATATCTCACTTATTTTACAGAAATCATAATGTAAGACAACACAAATTATTATGTAAGATAGAATGACGTAATAGATACGTGCTCTTCTATTAAGGATGATGACACGTAATGATGTAACAACCTTAATGAAAGAAGATGGCGGGATACGTTCAACGATCTAGTAATCATAGTTGTAGTTGTTTTCGGTTTTGTCGATTCCAATACTAGTACTAAAATCATTCGGCTCTTCATCATCCTCTACAACAACTATGATTGTCGTTTGTACCTTTCTTTCGGCCTTCTTTCAATCGCTCATCAGCATTTCAATCTCTAAGTATTTTGGTGTTAACCTCAAGCATCGTACGTCCAGAGTATAATCGCTTTCGCTAAATTTTTGTTCAACCGTCACAATTGAAGTTGAGACAACAAAAATCTTTATACATCAAGCATGAAACAAAATAAGTGATATTCATTTCTTAGCACCAATCAAAGACATCGAATGAGAGTGGCGATTTAGATGGTCTGGCCATTGTAAATTTGAAATAAGCGATCAAGAAGTGATCGAACTCATCTTATCCAATCACGTTATCTCTTGAAAGCCTTACATTTTTGTAGGGATTGAACCTAACATTTCTCCCAACATTTCACCTAAAATTATAGCAAGCTTGGCATTTGGAAACACTAGCAACCTACTAAATCCTTAGGTGAAAATAAATAATATTAGAATGGCATTATGGAAATAAGGCCTAGTGGTTGTGGGTGCTCCATCAGCACTCTCATCAGACCACACCACACAAGTAGGTAAATGGTGACAGTACAAGCCACTTCATCTTCTGAAAAAATGAAGTTTGGGCTGCTGAAAACAGTTCGAAAAACTTAAAATGAATGTAATTTTTGCATTTGAAGTTGGAATCTCTAATTATAA